TACATTTAATGAATGCATTTTTATATTTTTTAAAATAACCTTTTATGACTGGGTCTTATAGACTCATTCACACACGCACACACACACGCACATACACACAAAACGCACACACACACACTAACGTTGCTTACTTGCACAACAATATTAAAAAATGTATACCCTAAGTCCAGGTGTTTTTTATGTCCATATTCTAGGCTGACCCTACCCAACACAAGTTGAATGTGTAAAGTACACATTTAGCGACAACTCTAAGTATAACCCGTACCGGCACGTGGAAGCTTCACACTTACACATTTAAGTACAATTCTCCTCAAGTTGTCTTAGTATACGTATACAAGTACTAGACTAGTTCAATTAGGTGTTCATGTTATTTTATTATAGTGTTTTGTTATTTTTATACAGACTTCCAAGCAATCGCCCGCTTTCACTGTTTCTTTGGTTTTTTATTCGCTTTATATTGTTTTATTTTTTTAATTATTTTAAACTATAACTGGAATCTTTCTTATGTGACTTGATTGTATACTTATTCATACACACGCACACACACATACTACATACACACACACGCCCACATAATATGTTATAGTATATTAACAAAAATTATCAGCAAAACGAAATTTCGTAAAATAGCAGTAACTGTTATAATCATAATAATTGTAATTGCTTTCATTGCTTTGAATGAGTAAAACATACATTTAATTTATGTATTTTTTATATCTATATATATATATAAAGCAATGTATGTCTGTGTGTCTTTGTGTCTGTGTGTTTGTTTGTCCTTTATGCATTACTACACCTCTCATCACATCGCCGTGACACTTTGGGAAGTTGTTGAGAATATTCCTGGGGAGGTTTCTGCGAAAAAAAAATTTCAAATTCGCAGGGGTGGCGCCCCGACAGGGCGCGATTTGTTTTTCTCTATATACGGTATATAAAAATAAAAAGTTGATTTTGGTTTGACATCGTTCATCTGCTAGCCATGAGACTTTGGGGAGTTCATAATAACACTCTAAGGAAGGGTTCTGTAAAAAAATAATTTTTAATTTCGCAAGGGCGGCGCCACGGGAGGGTGCGATTTTCCTCTATATATGGTATATAAAAATAATAAAAGTGAATTGCAGTGACACCGTTCATCCAATAGTCATGAGACTTTGGGGAGTTCATTATAACACTCTAGGGAAGGGTTCTGCAAAACAAAAATTAATTTAGCAAGGGCGGCGCCACGGGAGGGTGAGATTTTTCACTATACACACACACACACTTTCTGTGGATAACTCAAATCTAAAAATAAAGTCACACTTCTAAAAATAACTTTGTAAGGCGAGGAAATCCTTCTGTACAGTTTCGTCACCTTGCGAATGTTGAAAAAATAACTTTTTGTAAATCGAGGAACCATCCTGTAGAGTTTCGTCACTTTACGAATGATGCAATTAGCATCTTTTTTTTTAGAAATCCAATCAGAAACTGAGATCGAGCATCTAATAATACACTATTAGTTGCATCATTCACTCTGAAATTAATAACACGTCCAATAATTTTTTTGCGTGTTAAAGAAACTCACCTGATGATTTTCTTACTTTAGAGAATGATGCAATCTGGATATTTGTTTGCATGAACCAATCAGAAAGTAAGATTACGCGTCTAAAAATACACCATTAGTAAAGTTAACAAGTTGCATCAGTCACTTCGATGTATATAAAAGCAAAGGGAAATCAGTTTTTGCATTATTAAAGACGAATATAGTAAGCTGCTTTTATTTATATGTTAAAATCCACGACAGTGAACTTTACGATTTGGGAAGAAAAAAACAGCGGCCATTGAGGAGTTGCCGATTATTTCATGAATTGAAAAAGGTAAGTTAATACACAATTAAATGTCCATTATTGTTATTTTTCTGTCATTCTTTTTTATATACACCGGTGTCAATGTGTTTGTTAAAGTGAGTCATGAAATTGAATTTCCAAAGTTGTATCAATTATGAAAGCAAATAATGAAACACTTAAAAACATTTCTATTTTCTTCCTGCAAATATCCCCCCCCCCCCCCGCCCCAAACTTCATTTATTAATACTTGATGTCATGTAAGATAATCGAGAAAATTGATGTAGTGAAATTCTAGAAACGTGATCCTAATACATCTTTTAAAAAACAACAACATAAAATTTGATGATACTATAAAAAAATGTTAACTTAATATAACCAAGAAGTAGGCTACATAAGACACGGCGGTGTTCACGCGAGATTGGAGTCACATTATAGTTTAGACGTCACACGCACGAACATATAAAATATATTACATGCAAATGGCAAAAGCGAGATACGCGGTTTAAAAAATGTCGGGGGGGGGGGGGGGGAAGGGAGGCCTTAATAATAAAAACAATTTCTTGAATGCCATAATTGTTTTTAACTCGCGACACGAATATTTTTAAGCTCTTTAGTTTGTAAATCTAGAAAGTGAAAATCATCTCTCTAATGCAGGGGTTCCCAACCCCGTGCCCGAGGGCGCCATGGCGCCCGTCGAACGATTTATATGTGCCCGCCTCTCACTATTCGACAGAGACAGAATTTTTTTCATATACATTATTGAAAGGTTGAAGGGGATGGAAATCGAAAGTTTGAGGGGGGTGGGGGGGGGGGGGGGTGGAAATCGAAAATTTGAGAGGGAGTGCAAACCGAAAGTTTGAGGGGGGGGGGGGGGGGGTGCAAATTGAAAGTTTTGTCCCCGGGGGACGGGAAGGGTCGCTACGCCTCTGGAAGGAGTTTGTCGATTTAAAATAGGTGGTGCCCGCCACCCAATCGATATTTTAGAATGTGCTCTAGAGTAAAAAAAGGTGTGGAACCCCTGCTCTAATGTGTCTGTCGGTCTATTTGTCCTTTATGCCTTAGTACACCATGCATCAAATCGCCGTACACTTCCGGATGGTGTTAAATACACTTACACGATTAATTTTAATAAGCACATTTTTTAATATGGATAGTGAATTTTTCCATTTATTTATTTTGCTACAGACGAACAGCGAGAATCAAGATTGGAAACAGTTCGATTACGTGCTGCTCAAGCCCGCTCAAATGAAACAGAAGAGCAACGTGAATCAAGATTGGAAACAGTTCGATTACGTGTTGCTCAAGCCCGCTCAAATGAAACAGAAGAGCAACGTGAATCAAGATTAGAATCCAATCGGGTAGGCACTGCTCAAACCCGCTCAAATGAAACAGAAGAGCAAAGTGAATCAAGATTGGAAACAGATCGATTACGTGCTGCTCAAGGCCGCTCAAATGAAACAGAAGAGCAACGTGAATCAAGATTAGAATCCAATCGGGTAGGCACTGCTCAAACCCGCTCAAATGAAACAGGAGATCAACGTGAATCAAGATTGGAAACAGATCGATTACGTGCTGCTCAAGCCCGCTCAAATGAAACAGTAGATCAACGGAGAGAAAGACTGGGAATCAATCGAGAACGTAATTTTCAAACCAGACGGACACTACACGCAGATCTGAACCTCTCTGCATTCAGTTATGATCCTGATTATGATTACAGTCTTCATCGAAGTGTCGCTATCGGAAAAATGGACAAAGTGTGCGAATTTTGCCATGCGTTGAAATTTAAGAATGAAACGCCTGGAATGTGCTGCGCAAGTGGAAAAGTGAAACTACCAGAACTGCATTTACCACCCGAACCGTTGTCAACTTTGGTATCAGGTGAAACAAACCAGTCGAAACATTTCTTGGAAAACATACGTAGGTACAATTCATCTTTCCAAATGACGTCATTCGAAGCATCAGCAATCATTCGTGACAATTACATGCCAACCTTCAAAATTCAAGGCCAAATATATCATCGGGTTGGATCACTTTTACCACTGGGAGATGCAGATCACAAATTTCTCCAAATTTACTTCATGGGAAGCCCTGCTGAGCAAGTTAAAACGCGTTGTCTATTGAATACCAGTACTAACCAAGAAATAATAGCTGGTCTACAAGCTATGTTTGATCAACACAATGAACTGGTTCGGCTATTCAGGACGGCGCTTGACCGAATGCCAGCTGATGAATATGCTGTTGTAATTAGAGCTGACAAAACACCAGTCGGCCAGCATGAAAGACAATATAATGCACCAACTTTAAATGAAGTCGCGATTGTCATAGCCGGCGAAGAGTTCAACTCGCGTGATATTATTCTTCATCGCAGAAATGGTAATGTTCAGCGAGTCTGTGAAACGCATCGGTCTTATGATGCTTTACAATACCCAATAATATTTTGGCAAGGAGAAGATGAATATCATTTCAATATCAAAATGATAAATCCAGAAACAAATGAGGAGATAAATAAAAAAGTTAGTGCTATGAAGTACTATGCTTATCGACTGATGATTCGTGAAAATCAAGAGAATCACATTTTAAAATGTCGGCAACTGTTCCATCAGTACATTGTCGACATGTACGCTAAAATTCAGAGCGAACGACTTCTGTTTATTCGACTGAATCAAGCCAAACTGCGCTCAGAAGAGTACATCAATTTGCGTGACGCAATTACTACCGATACCAATCCCAATGATATTGGGAAAATGGTCATGTTGCCAGCTACATTCACAGGAAGCCCTCGGCACTTACACGAGTACGCGCAGGATGCGATGACCTATGTTCGCAACTACGACCGTCCCGATCTATTCATCACGTTTACGTGCAATCGCAAGTGGGATGAAATCAAAGAACTTATTTTACCTGGACAGTCACCAGCGGATCGTCATGACATCATCGCACGTGTCTTCAAACAAAAATTAAAATCTTTGATGGATTTCATCGTCAAGCATCATGTTTTTGGGGGAGACACGCTGCTGGATGTATTCAATTGAATGGCAGAAAAGAAGCTTGCCTCATTCGCATATTTTGGTTTGGTTGTGTAACAAAATTACACCCGACAAAATTGACGAAATAATATCAGCAGAGATTCCCGATATCAACATCGATCCCGGTTTGTTTGAAGTTGTTTCAAACAACATGATCCATGGTCCATGTGGCGCGATCAACAACACTTCTCCGTGCATGAAGGATGGTAAGTGCACAAAGCGATATCCAAGAGACTTACACGCCGAGACTATCACCGGAAATGATGGATATCCAAAATACCGTCGACGAGCAACAGATAATGGTGGCAACGTCATCGTTCTAAAATTGCACAACAAAGACATTGATATTGATAATCGTTGGATTGTTCCATATTCACCGTTACTATCAAAGACGTTCAAAGCTCACATCAATGTAGAGTATTGCAATTCAGTGAAATCTATCAAATACATTTGCAAATATGTAAACAAAGGAAGTGATATGGCCGTTTTCGGAGTAGGAAATCCGTCTGCACCAATCGATGAAATTGAACGATATCAATTGGGACGCTACATTAGTAGCAATGAAGCTGTTTGGCGAATTTTATCATTTCCCATTCATGAACGCCATCCACCTGTTGTTCACTTGGCTGTGCATGTTATAGATGGACAGAGTGTTTGCTTTACAATGGAAAACATACAAACTAAAGCATTGTCACCACCGCACACTACTTTAACTGCATTCTTTGTGTTGTGCAATGAAGATGAGTTCGCCAGAACGCTTCTTTACTCAGAAGTTCCAAAGTATTACACGTAGAATGGATCAGCGAAAAAGTTCCAACGACGAACACAGGGCAAACCCGTTGCAGGACATCACAATTTATATTCGTCTGACACGTTAGGCCGTCTCTATACCGTCTACCCAAATAATCAAGAATGTTTTTACTTGAGATTATTGTTAGTTAACGTACGTGGGCCCAGATCATTTCAAGAACTGAAAACAGTAAATGATGCAGAATGTGAGACCTATCGAGAAGCTTGCCAAAAACTTCATCTTCTTGAAAACGATGCCCATTGGGACACAGCACTCGCTGATGCATCTAATACTGCTCAACCACAACAAATGCGTACGTTATTTGCAATAATATTGACAACCTGTTTCCCTTCCAATCCAAAAGATCTTTGGGAAAAATACAAAGATTGGATGAGTGAAGACATCTTACGTCGTTTGCAAAGCACGAATCCCAGTATGCAATTTACACCAATAGTGTATAATGAGGCGCTGCTTTCTATCGAGGATATATGTTTGCCAATCGCTAACAAAACATTGGTGCAATTGGGAATGTGTGCACCAAATCGATCTGGAAATAACTCATATGATCGTGATTTGCAACGTGAAAACGACTTCGACGTCAATGATTTGGGTGCGTTTGTTGAAAGGAATCTACTAAAATTGGTTCCAGAACAACGTATTGTATATGACACAATCATGCAAGCAGTTACAAATCAAAGCGGAGGATTGTACTTTATAGATGCACCAGGAGGTACAGGCAAAACTTTTCTTATTTCAATCATTTTGGCAACGATAAGATCAAGAAATAAAATTGCCTTGGCAATTGCATCATCTGGAATTGCAGCAACACTTTTAGATGGTGGTCGAACAGCACATTCAGCCCTAAAATTACCGTTGAATTTGCATTCCATCGAGACGCCAACATGCAATATCACCAAAAATTCTGGAATGGGCAAGGTTCTCCAAACATGTGAGTTGATCATATGGGACGAATGCACTATGGCGCACAAAAAAGCATTGGAAGCTCTTGATCGCACACTTCAAGATTTGAGGGATAATGGGCAGCCCTTTGGCGGGGCACTCATTTTATTGTCGGGTGATTTTAGACAAACTCTGCCAGTTATACCACGTTCAACACCGGCTGATGAGCTTAATGCATGTCTCAAATCATCTGTTCTATGGAGACATGTAAAGAAATTAACCTTGAAAACCAACATGCGTGTTCAACTTCAAAATGATGCATCCGCCGAACGTTTCGCAAAACAATTGCTGGATATTGGGAATGGGAAGATGGCAGTTGACAGATCGTCACAATATATCGCCTTGCCAGAAAACTTTTGCAACATGACATCAAGTCAAGACGACTTAATTGAAAAGGTTTTCACAAATATCTCACAGAAGTTTGAAAACCATCAGTGGCTTAGTGAACGTGCCATATTAGCTGCTACAAACAGCGATGTCAACGACATGAATTTCACCATTCAAAAGAGAATACCAGGAGAAGAGACAACGTACAAGTCAATAGACACTGCGATAAATCAAGACGAAGCTGTCAGTTATCCGACAGAATTCTTAAATTCATTGGATTTGCCAGGTATGCCACCGCATATATTAAGTCTTAAACTTGGTGCGCCTATCATTCTCCTTAGAAATATAAATCCACCACGACTGTGCAACGGTACAAGACTTTCAGTCAAAAAAATGATGCATAACATCATTAAAGCAACTATTTTGACTGGAAAATTCAAGGGTGAACATGTATTGTTGCCACGTATTCCAATGATACCAACAGACATGCCGTTTGATTTTAAACGCTTACAATTTCCAGTACGTCTGGCTTTTGCCATGACTATAAATAAAGCGCAAGGCCAATCCCTCCAAGTATGTGGCTTAAACTTGCAGAACCCATGTTTCTCACATGGGCAATTATATGTTGCTTGCTCACGTGTGGGAAAATCTTCTGATTTATACGTATACGTGCCAGAAGACAAAACAAAAAACATTGTATATCAACAGGCGCTCGAATAAACACATTGAATCAAATGGTTTCAGCATTAATCTGAATGTTAATCATATTTATAAATATAAGTCGTGAATATGTTTCAATGAAGTACACTGAATGTTCAGATGTTCATAATAAAATGCTATATACGCTTCAATTAATATGTTAAGTGAATGTTAATCATATTTCCATATTAGAATGATAAATATGTTATAGTAAAAATGTACATTGAATGTTATACCGTTGTTCCATATAAAATTGATTTATACATTTTTTAAAATGTAACTTGAATGTAATAATACTTCCTTTTTAAAATGATTGATAATTTTCATTTTCAATAAAAATGTACATTTAATAGCAACATAACTTTCATAATGTGTTTCTTTAATTTTGTTTTTTAAACTTTAAGACCGCAGCAACGCGCGGGGACGGGTACGCTAGTTTTTTATAAAAACTTTATGTGACTGGGTCGTATAGACTCGTTCACACAAACAGCACTAGACTAGTTAAATTAAGATTTTATGAAGTTTGCGTGTTGTTTTATTTTAATATTTTGTTCTTTTTTACACAGTTATCCAAGCAATCGCTCTTTGTGTAGTGAATGTTTGTGTCGTATTTTATTCGTTTTACATTGTTTTATTTATTTATTTTTAAAACTAGAACTGGAATCTTTTTTATGTGACTGGGTCGTATACTCTTTCATACACACAAACACACATACTACATGCACACAAACACACGCCCACATAATATTTTATAATGTATTTAACACAAATTATCAGCAAAAAGAAAGTGCGTAAAATAACATGTGAAGGGATAGTGTGGTTAGAGACATGCTCGGCTGGAATCGTTTTTTAAACAATAAAAACATGTGTATTTGACGTTTCCTCTACTAATTTTTTTTTTTAATTATTTTATTTTTAACGCTCAGCAAGTATTTGATACTATCGAGTGTTTTATTAAAGATCTAACATTGTCTTGTAAAAATAACGTCATTGTGATGACAACAAGACAACCTCTACAAACGTGTGTATAGATTGACAAGACAAAACATAGATTAACTATATCCTTGCCTTCTGTTTTTTTTACACTCAGTGGTCTATGCTCCGTTCCTTGTACACTCGAATTGAAATCTGTTGACATTGTCGTAACAATAACAATTATTATGTAACTGCAAACAAAAATATTCTCGGGAATAGCAACAGTTGATTTTCTTGATAGAATTTTATTTTTCCTTCAACCACGTTGAGAACATTTGGGGTTAAACGCGCACCGTATTGCCCCCGTACGTATTATGTTTGTCTATCTATGCTATTGCTAGACTTACAATTAAGTGTTTCATGAACTCATGTTTTAAATATTATATGCAATCGCTGAAGCTTAGCGCCTACCTATGAACAATCTTTTTTAATAATAAGTTATGTTATCGTGTTGATAAATAAAAATGTTTTAATGGCAGTGAACACTAAAATAGCAGTATTGTATAACATATACTATCATTATGATGATAAAACGGATGACCCAATTAAATTTTTTTTTTCCTTTTTACCACACAATATACTGGTAAAATCATTACAGGGTCGGGGTCATCTGTTATAATATATACCATCCACCATACGTCTAAAATATAATAATACATATATGTAATATACTTATATATAATAATACACCCAACTCCGTAGGCTGGATTCCGATCTTAAAATCAAGATATTTATACAACTTACCATAACATTTATTTCAAAATTACAGGCTTTTATGTATGCATGGAACTAAAATGATTTTCTGCGAATATAAAAATGCACAACTGTTTACATAACTATAAAGAAAAAATGTTGAATACCCTTTATATGCCAAACATTGACTCAATCCATTCTGAAATAATTTTCTAAACTTTAAAACTTATCCATTCTTAATTTAGTATTAGTAAATTTGAACAAATGAATATACGATCCAGCTTCCGCTAAATAATATTAATGCTATAAATAAGCAAGAACAAACAAAACATACCCACCAGTTGATTTTTTCTGTTCTCGTATTTTTTTCAATCAAAATCAAGCACGTATGTTTGATTATCATTAAAGGTTAATGATTTATATCAATATTTTTTTATAACAAGCTTTGAATTTTAAACTACGTAAACATAATTTAATCACATCTCACACTTTGCCTATGAGACTAAAAGGGTGTTTACTCGGCTTATGTGGCCTCAGTGTCTGATACATACCTTACATATTATATACTCTACTTTATCTACCCAATCATTGTCTAATTCTGATTACATTTTTTTTAAATTTTTGATTTTTTTCCCCCCGATGCTATCGCTGTAGAACGATAATCAGTTCATGAAATCAGAGCATAGGGTTTGATGTTTCACTACGATTCCCATTCTTCACAGTTTCGATAGCTGAACTAAACCCATGTTAACAAACACAAACACGTTTTTTTATTGAATATCAATCATCACTTAATCATTGTCGGATGTTAATGTATATAGTTGATTTTGTTTTCATGTTTTATTAAAGTATTATTTTTTTTTTTAGTGAATAATGCATTAAAGAAAACGGCTCGACTTTTCTCACGAATGTTTGCCCGGTCCTACCATTAACAGTATCTGACTTTGATTTTTGATGAATTGATGAATTAACATACCCATACATAAATCACATCAAATATGATATTTTATTAAAGTCGGATTTTAAAACCTCAGTGTTTTCTCTAATATTTTAATTACATTTTATGTACCAGACAATTCTCTTTAGGAACCCAATTAGACAGTTTACCTTGTGCTTTGTTCTATTCTTACACATAGTTTCTTCCAGGCAGAAAGCCTACCGCCCCCCCCCCCCCCCCGAACGAAACGGAATTTATATAGAAAATATATACTTTTGACAGTGTCCGCCCCGCCCCCCCCCCCCCCCCCCCCCCGAAAATTGTTGTCCGCCCCCCCCCCCCCGAAAATTTCAAGTGCACCCCCGGAGAAAAAAGTCTGGAAGAAACACTGTTCTAACATCTGATATAACGTTCGTTAAATAAATTGAAAGCCGTGCTCAACCGTCTTTATTTGATAAGTTGAGCTCAGGTACGTTTTTTCTTTCTTTTAAAATCAGATGTAGATCTATATTAACTGCCTTTAAAAGTTTATTATAACATTACATAATCTGGTATCTTGTAACATTATTTTAATGAAGAATAAAATTAACAAACATGTATTACTTGTAGAGTATTTTTAGAATATTTTTTTTAATTATCATCAGACAGATAAGATATTATTAATGAATAATAAATTATTAAATATAACAGTAGCATAAGTAAAAGTATAGTGAGTTACTATTATTCATATGTATTCCAATATTAGCATTCTAACAATCCACATATTACAGCTAAACTACAGCCCGGCAACAGCAAGAAGCTTATGAGAAGTAGAAAAAAAAGCTTATTAATTAATCACTTAATCTGGTGTTGCCGTCTAAGGTAACACTAGTATTACTTTGTTTGCTTTCCTTTTAATCTATACATTTTCCTACCTAATCCAACATACACACTTCTGTATTGTACAATCAAAAAGAATATCTAAGATTTTCCTATATTGCCCAATATTTACTATACCAATTTACCTCCCATGTTTACTACATTATTAGCTTAAATATTTAAAGGGAGCTAATTGTATAAACATATCAATAATATTAAAACACGTTATAACATATAGAGAATAGAATATACACAATAGTTTGTTCATTTATATATTATAATTAAAAAAATATATGATGAGAAATTGAAAAATTTAGCAAGTTTTTTTAGCATTTATTACATAAAAAAGATAAACAATTTGCGAATATAGGAAAAATAAACGAACAATTGTTTAAAAAATTCAAACCATTCGATCACTGCGTCGATACCCCAAGAGCACGAGTAAATATCAATTTTTTTCTGGCCAGTTTAATACATTAAAAAAAATTCTAATATATAATAAATTTTTCACAATGGATATCCTCTAGTTCGAACGATAGGCTATTACGTTATGCATCTCCTAGAGTATTTTCAGCACGAAAGGCATAAATGTTGGAAAACCGCAGCCAACAATTACTAAGTAAATTTTTTTTTTTTTTTTAATTTTTAAAAATGTTTGCATCATAAAAAAAAAAAAAAAATAATACCTTCATGTAATTATTATTCATTTAAACTATAGAACACTACAAACTAAATAATTAGTATTAATTTTTTAAAAGTTGTTTTTAATATAAAAATATAAAAAAAATCTAATGCACATAATTGCATATACTACCATAAACCTACCCCTTTTGTAAACATATAGCGAAGCCTATCCGTGTATAGTGTCTATATTTTTACGTTCGTGCAAGTTGTTTCAAAAACTGTCTAGGTTTTGTTGATACTATAACAATCAACACAAAACCTATGTCACATGATGCCATCTATTGTATATTAAATGTAATGTCGGTGTCATTCTACGTTTAGTTGAATTCCATGTTTGTAAGTTAATATCGAGTGTAAATAACAATATAAAATGTCACAATAGAGTTTAAATATAAATATATATAATGTATATTAATTTTTAGTCTACATAAAGTAAAACAAATAACTATTAAATATATATACTAAATTTCACTCAACGAACACATTAGAAAATTTATGTCTAACTGAAAACGATGTGTTAACCTAATAGAATCTTTAAAAAAAACAACTTATGACTACTCAGTTTTAATAATACAATTATAGTTTTACTTTTTAGTTAATGGATTTATTGACTATTATTTGTTTCCACCGGGTGCATTATTAAAAAATATGTTTTAAACATGTTAAAAGCCTTATTTAATTGACCTCATATTAGCTACAATACTTTTCGTTACTAAGTGACAGCATTTTACAATATTGGCTTAGCTTAAACCTATTCCATTATAACACGAATTGAAACACATACAGAGGTACACTACGTATGTTAATCTGTAATAAATAGCCATGGACGTTGAACATAGATAACACCATGGTTTGAAATGTGTTGGTATGAAAT